GAGACCAGAGTAGATGCAAAACCGGCAGACAGCCTCTTCATACCCTGCAAGCAATAATGCCCGCAGACTTAAGTCTGCGTCCGTCTTTTATTTCCTCTCTTTCAGGGAGGGATCTTTACAGAAGAAGAATGGTATTTTTCAAACAAGACAATCTTTAAGGTAAGTTAAGCCAGTAAACCTTACTTAAACCAATATTCCTTCCTTCCTTACTGGGTTTAACCTTCACTTGGATCAAACTGATTGAACTCAAGGTGGTCCAAGGGAGTTGCCCCCATTGTCCTTAATCCTGTATTCCCAGAATTTACCACTCCGCCCGAAGTGAATATACCCCGGACAGTTCCTCTCCAGAGCCTGCCTCCCTGCTTAATCCCAGTACACCTGTCCTTGTTCGTTCTCTGAGGAAGTTTTACTGTCTTGGTTCTAGGGGGGAAATCTTGACCTTAGAAACTTAGGGGAATATTGCATTTCTCTGTGGACATCCAGGGCTCATGTTTGGAATTAAATAAATATAACTGAACACTAAGATGAAAAACAATTTGCTATTAACTGCCAAGTGGCTAGATCTGTTACATTCAGGCCTATAGGGCCTCGAACCTCTGCATGGTCTGCAACAAGGTGGAGAGTCAGAGAAAAAGAGAAAGACCCCCAATGAGATGGATTGGCCATGTGGCAGCATTGATGGGCTCAAGTGTGGCAACAGTAGTGAGGTTGACCCAGGATCTGGCAGTATTTCATTCTGCTGTGCATAAGGTAGCTATGAGTCTGTACCAATTCGATGGCACCTAACAACAACAACAAGAGGAATTACCTAAATCCTAACACAACTCAACCCAAGTTCTATTAAATTTTCTTTAGAAAACAAAAATTTTGTTTGTGCGTTTCTTAAGAATGACTTGAGCCTATTCCTTGCCAAGATAATCCTAGGATTGTGCTGAAGTGAAACTTGAGATGATGGATCTAAGTATCAAGTACTTGAAAGCTCCATCTCTATCTAAATTCTTTCTGGTGCACTTCCCTTAATTTTCAACTCAATCCACTAATCAGAAATAATCATCTGAGTTGAAACAGGTTTGACCATTTCTTGGGTCGTAAGTATACCATCAATGGTTTGTACATAAATTGAAAGCTAGACACATTCTACAAACCCAGTGGGAGCACTACAATGCAGAGGAGTCCTGATGTGGAGATGCAGGATAAACACTGGACTGCTAACTGCAAGATGGTAGTTCAAACCCACTAGCCACTACTTGGAAATCCTATACAGGGTCGGAAGCAACATTTAATACAATGTTTAAAGAGCCCTGGTGCTGTAGGTAAGCAAGGGCCATAAGGGTGGTTTGAACTGCAAGGTTAGACGTTCAAACTCAAAAGTTACTCCTTGGAAACCCTATGCACACTCGCTGTGAGTCAGAACTGACTCGAAGGCACTTAACAACAATAAAGAGTCCTGTTGGCATAATGGTTAAGTAGTCAGCTAGTAACCTATGTAATCATTGGTTCAAACCCATCCACCATTCCACAGTAAAAAAAAAATACCTGGCTAGCTGCAAAGTCCTGGTGTAGCACTCTAGGATAATAACTGGGCTGATACATTCAAGGTCACTGATTCAAACCCACCAGCCACTCATCAGAAAGCCTATACAGGATTATTTTTAGTCTGAACTGACTCAATGGCACTTAATTAACAGTAAGCGGCTATATCAAGGAGCTTGGGTAAGGACATTGCTGCTAAACAAAAGACTGGTTGTTCAAACCCACCAAATGCTCTGTGAGAGAAAGAGGAGGCTGTCTACTCCCATAAAGGTTTACAATCTCAGAAAACCTAAAGAGCAATTTTAATTTGTTTTACAGGGTCACTATGAGTGTGTGGCAATGGGTTAAGGTTGTTGTTGTTGTTGTTGTTGTTGTTTTTAGTTGTTATATCTATTCACCACTTGGTATAGTAATAAAAAGACATTTTATTTAGGAGTGATTCCAAAGTTGTTTTCAAAATACACATTCTGATAATTAAGAAATATATTTTTTAGTTTTATCTGAGAAAAAATGTATACTTTATAGTATAGTATTAAAGAAGTCAACACCAACAACAGAATAAAGTTACATATATTATTTATCATTTAAATAGTTTTTTTTAATATCTGAGTTTAGTGGTTTATTCTTAAAGAATTAGAATGATTTCCTTGCTGAAACATTTACTACTCATAAAAACTATTTTTAATTGTACTTAGGATAGAAGTAACTGGTTCAAGGAGTTAGTTGAAGGAACCAACTTTGTATTAAGCAGTCTCTAAAATGTATTCTCTTGACCTTTAAAGATTTCAATGAAATGACAATATCCTAAGAGTTTTTAAAATGTGAAATTATTATTTTTAGCAATATTTATTAACCTAAAGTGAATTGTAGCGAAGTGGTTACAAATTGGGCTCCTAATCTCATGTCAGCAGTTCGAAACTATCAGCGGTTCCATGGGAAAAGATGAGGCTTTCTGCTCCCATAAAGATTTACAGTCTCAGAAACCCTGTACAGGGTCACTGTGAGTCAGAACCGACTCCACAGCACACCATCACCACCATTAAATACATCATGTCTTACAACCAAACCCACTATTGCTCTTATATCTTCTGGAGACACGTTTGGATTGGATGTCGTATTCAAGTTGGTTAGATCCTTGGAAGAAGTAGTAGTGTCCTAAAAATAAAAGCAAAACTAAATTATTTCTTTGCATTTCTTTTTTTAAAAAGTATAAATCTGTGTTTTTAATAGAATATATATATTCTATTGATATTCTCTGGCTTCAGAATATAATTGCTGGGGGTCTTTGATTGAGTCTCCTACCTACTGCCAGTCATTTCACAGTTGTATATTTTTATTAATTTACTTATAAATGTATTATTTGGTCTTCAAAGGCCACCGCTAATATGCAAATATTTTGGAAAAGTCAAACTTCTAGTTGAAGAGAGGAGACTGAGCCCAAGTGGAATATAGAGCAAGGGGAGAGAAGTAAAAAGGTACTTGGGGGAAATAAAAAAATAAAAAAAAACTTGGCTCAGTAAACACTTTTGCTTAAACTGACCTTGCTGCCCTCTACCCCAGTTCATGAAGACCAATGAAGGTTAGAAGGGGCTGAAAGGAAGGTAGAAGATGCACGGTCTAAAGTACAAAGCATAAGACTCTGTAGTCTCTGGACTGCCTATCTCGGTTGCCCATCTGCTCATTCACATACACTGCACAGCTGGGTGTGGTTGTAGGAAATTCCAGAGACTCATATGGCTGCAGCCACAATCATATCCCCAGGACAGCCAGATCACTTTAGGAATAAGCCATTGCCTGTACTAACCATTTCCTCATTCTTCTGGTTCACCTATTTTAAGCCAAGTACATATCTTCATGGTTTCGCAATTTACTTACTTTTAAAATAGAAGACCGCATCAATTTTAGGACCAATTCCTGGGAAGCCTTTGGTTATCAATTTGGGATAACCGTGGTCCATAAGTTGTCTCTTCTCATCATACCTGAGCAAAGAAATAATAAGCAGGAACTTGATCAAAAATGCATTTAACAACATGAATCTTCCAACCCCCAAATAGCCAGTGTCTCTTCTAGAAGTCTCTTCCTAAAGGGGTCTAGAGACCACCAGTAAGAAAATCCATGGCCTAAAATGGTTTTCTGACTATAAATCCTTATAGGAGTCAATGCTTAGACTTGCTGACTTCTAGTTAGGCATCTCCCTCTACCCATCCTACAATGTTTTTTCCTGTGCATTGTTGTTGTTGTTGTTAAGTGGCGTCTAGTTCATTCCAACCCATAGCGACCCTGCATAGGGTTTCCTAGGAGCAAATGGTGAGCTTGAACTGCCTACCTTGCTTCTCAAACTGACTTTACAGTCCAGTGCATTAACCCACAGTGCATTGGAGCCTGGTATTGAAGGAGATTTATCTACAACATAGTCCCCTACTGATCCAAATATTTAACTGCCTGTTACTGCCTTCTCATAACTTCCTACTGAGATACAAACAACCATTATTTCTTAGAATATAATAGAAAAACAGGCAAAGGTTAAGATCATGGCATCAAAAGGTTTTAAATTCATGTTAGAGACAAACGGAAAACCAATGCTTTATCATTTTCAGGCTATGTAGTCAGACTCTAGGTGTTTTCTTAAATTTTCTTTTACCAAAAATAAAGCTGTTTCTTTCCAGGCTTCAAGTGAAAACTGAATCCAAAAGTACAGAGTAAAAACTAGTATTGGTAATAACTGTTCTAATCCTCTGTTCTTTTGATTCCTTTCATCCAAAAAGGTAAAAAATCTTTAGGAACTGGCATAGAGAAACTGCCTGAAAGAAAAACCCACTTCACAAATCTCAGGAGTCAAATCACCAACTTTTAAAGCTCACCTCCAATATTCATGATCTACAAAGAAGTAAATCTTATGGATAAGTGGGTTAAAAACGGCTGCATCAATTTTCTTCACCCAGTCAGGAAAGCCCAGAGAATGTATGCTCTTGGGGTAGTTTTGCTGTGGTCTTGAATAGCTGAGTAGCCAGTACTTGTCATCTGTAAAGAAAAAGAAAAAAGGTACATTAGAATACACAAGAAATGAGAATATTGACTCAGCACAACCTCATTATCCCCCCACAGTTCTAAATATTGTTCGCTCTGTTACTGCTTTTAAGATCTTGCAGTACTTTTCTATCTATTGACTACGGGCTGAACTAATTTGCATTATTCCTGTTTTCACATCAAAGAAACAAACTTAGGAAACTTTCAGAAACATATGAAAGAATAGATCTGCATTAATTCATTCTGTTCCATCTTTTAATACATTTTAAACTGGAAAATCTGGGGTAATTAATAGACTAAGTGTATGTTGTTGCTGTTATGTGCCATCAAGTTGGTTCCAACTCATAAGCAACCTAGTGTAGGGTTTCCGAGGAGCGGCTGGTGAGTTTGAACCACTGACCTTACAGTTCAAACTGACCTTGAGGTCCTGCAGCACCATAACAATAAAAGTTTCTATTTAAAAACTGGTCTATCTAGATTGTTAATATTGTAAACATGATTCCACTTCAAAATTGATAAAATGGCAAATTTTATGTCATATGCATTTACCACAATAAAATCATTTTTAAATGGTTTCTTATGATTCTTCACATTTTTGTTTTTCACAATTATCACCATCTTTTTGCAAACTAGTAGATATTTGTTCTGAAAGTTTAATGTATTACCTAGGTATTTAGTTCAATTTAGGTTACAATTCTGACCCACTGTAACTAACATCTGAAATGTTTTTTGTTTTTGTTTTTTTGCTGTGTCCATATAAAGTTGTTGTGTGCCATTGAGTTGATTCCTGTTTTCTTTTTAGTTGGTTCAATGTTAAAATGAAATATTATAATTACCTTTAAAAAGAAAAACTTGATTTCTGTCTGTAATTTCGTAAGCGGCTTGAATGAAAGATGGCAAGGTTGGCCAGAAGGAAGAAATTAAATGAGCAGTACTCTTTGGTGTCCCAGGGAACCTCCACCATAAGAAGCTGAAACAAAAACATGGAGCACACATTAAATATCATTGTAGACTCAAGAATCATGAAATGCTTGAATGCGAAGGAAGGACCTACTAAAAAACTTAATGTATCCTTATATTATGTTTCATAGATGTCTTTTTGCAAATTCTCAGGGTAAGAGCCCCTCAGAGTAAGGATCAACACTTTTTTAGAAGATTTGAACAGACAACCAAGCATATGAAAACACCCTGGCGCTTAAAATCTAGTCTTCTCTACGTCCCCCAACTACCTGCTTCTATCTGAGTTCCAATACAGAATCCATATTGTCACCCTGGAATGCTCTATAATCAAGAAATCAAGCCTATTAAACTTTTTAAGGAATCTTTTAAAGCTAGTGGAGTCCTGGTATAGTGCTGTAGGATAAGCACTGGGCTGAAAGGTTAGTTTGAACTGCAAGGTTGGTGGTTCAAACTCACCAACCACTCCTCAGAAATCCTATATAGGGGTCGCTGTGAGTTGGGACTGACTCAAAGGCACTTAACAACAACTACAACTTAAAGCTAGTATCTTTTTAGGTACTGTCATTACAACATTATTAATAGCCTGAAATCTCTGTTTCCTCTTATCTTTCCACAACCCAGATTCCAACTTCAAATCTATCTTCCTCACATGTTAGTTTTTTAGCTAAGGCACAGATCTAATCATTCAGCTTTCCTATTTCAAAACCTTTAATATCCCTCCACTGATTATAATATCAAGTCCAAGCCCATGCATACAAGTTTTACCTGCTTCATTTTCCACTGTTCTTTAACAACAGCAAAAAACAAGATCCTATAATATTGAGTCATTTTTTAAAACTATCCTACCTGTCTTTAAAGAAAAAAATTTTCTCTCCGATTGTAGTAACAGCATCAAAACTCAAGTTGGGGTCACAGATAACCGATTGTGTACTGTCAGTAGGTGATATGGGATGGTGCTTTTCTGGGCCTCCTGAAAATACATTTCAAGAAACATTGAGGGAAAAAAATCAACATTTTAGTTTAAAAGTTTATTTTTAATGAAAAAATGCATAAAAGGCAACTTTAATTCTCTATAACATCACAGAAGACCTACAATTTGTTTTTGTTTGTTTTCTTCCATGTAGTTGAAATTTCATGGAGAGCAGAAAATCTTCCAATTCTCTGGTATTCCTGTTCCAAGTAGGTTTTCTGTGTACTTTCTTCAATAGGGAAATGGTATATTGGATAGGAAGAATACCAGGTTGGAGGTCTGGAGACTCAAGTTTTGCCTTGTAATGTAACATTAGCTATGACTTTAAGGTAACTACTAAATTTCTTGTCCTTCAGTAAAATGAATGTATTATCTATACTACTTACCTCATAGAGTTCTCATAGGGCTAAAGAAAAAAGACATCTGTTGAAAGTTTTGTGCAAATGTGGATATTAGGTTTACACACAAGAGCATCTTCATAGAGCAAAATTGTAAAGAAATTCAGCTCACCATAAAGGGACTGAATGCCACGTATGTCATCAGTAGAGAGGGAAAATGTGTTGGTATCAAAATATCTGTAGTTGGGGAACATTATGGCTTTTGAATCATTGGAATGTCCAAGACCCAAGGAATGGCCAATCTCATGAACAGCAACAAGAAACAAGTTTATTCCTAAAAGGAAAGCAACCAAAAAGAGGGGGAGAAATCAAATAAATATTTAGCATCTAGAATGAAGAAAATAAGATGAGGCATTGGTACAACAAAAAAGGAACTATTTAAAAAAACAAAAAACAAAACCAGGAACAACCTAGGGAAACTTTTACTTGTTTTCCTGCTATTTTGAACAGGGTTTCTCAAACTTGGGTTGGAACTATTGACAATTTTGGCCTTATAATAATTTTTCCTCAGTAGTTGTCCTGTGCAATATAGAATGTTTTGAAATTTGTGGTAACTATTCATTAAATTCAAGTAGTGACCTCCCTCCAATTTTGACAATCATATCCAGACATTTCCAAATAATACTTTGTGGGCCAAATTATCTACAGGTTAAGAACCATTGTACTAGCAGACACAAAATATTGTATTGTGAAATTTTCTAGAATCTCATACCTTTCCTCAGTAATTTTCATTGCTTTAAATGACTCTTAACTCCCTTGGCCTCCCTTCTACTTTTATTCTGAATCAGGTTTCAGGGATGTTGATGTTGTTAAATGTTGTGGAGTTAATTCCAACTCATAGTGACCCTGTATATTGTTTTTGGTAGTGTAGTGGGTATGAATCGGGCTGCTAACCTCACAGTGAGCAGTTCAAAACTACAAGCTGTTCCATGGAATAAAGATGAGGCTTTCTGCTCCTGTAAAGATTTACAGCCTTGGAAACCCTGTACAGGGTCGCCGTGAGTCAGAACTGACTCCACGGCACATACCGCTACCCTGGTGTTTCTGACGAGCAGCTGGTGAGTTTGAATAACTAATCTTTTGGTTAACAGTCCAGTGATTATCCTACTACCTCACATAAAGACGCCTCAGCAAATATAAAAACCTTTAGGAATCATCATTTGCTCTTCATAAACCCAAATAAAAAACCATTACTGCATTCCTAAGGTCAAATTAATGCAGTTCTTTATCTTCCCTTAATTTAAAAGTGATTAAAACCATTTCTAGAATGTTAATACTATTCAAAAGGGGCTCTGGTAGCATAGTGGTTACGAATCGGGCTGTGAACCTCACGGTCAGCAGTGCGAAACTACCAGCTGTTCCACAGAAGAAAGATGAGGCGTTATGCTCCCGTAAAGATTTACAGCCTCGGAAACCCTGTTCAGGGTCATTATGAGTCGGAACCGACACCACGGCACTATATGTTGGAACCAACTTGACGGCACTTAACAACAATAATGTGGCAAAATTGAAGCTCAAAAGAATTATGTTATGTCCTTTGTCTCATATTATTTACCTACAGAATTTGGCCATAATATATTTGCTAATATCCTATGAGCTCACTTCTCTCTGGGGAAGTGTCTACAAACACAGACCAGACTCTAAAGATATTCTCTACTGTAACACAGGGGTGCGGGAAGTCAACAGCTGGAGTTTCACTGTATCTCCACTCTGTGTAAGACTGGAGATAAGAATAAACACAATTATTTATCATTTGGTCTAAACCTGCATTTACTCTATTTTCATCATATTGTGTGTAAACCGTAACCCTCATCTTCTTCTCAAAATATTGAACTTTTGTGTTTCATTTCCCTTTCACCTGTATGAAAACCCACTGAACACCATCATAGAAACTTAAAAAGCATTAGATACACGTTAAATTTGCTGGAGACTGTGGGTCAAAGAATTAGTCTTAGAATAAGCATTTTTAATTAGAAATTTTATAAATAATTTACCATTTTTAAAGCAGAAAACTTGCCAGTTAAAAATAAGGCAACATGAAGAGGTGGAAAGTACACATTAGACGAGGTATGTGGTCTGACCCCAGCTTTCCACCCCAAGGAAAAGTTGCTCTTGGTGCTCTGTATGTAAAATTCTCAGTTAAATTATTTAAGGTCTTTTAGGATTCTGAAACATTTTGCAGAGGCTACCCAGCAAATCTCTCCTTGAATCAGATGCAGAGATTACAATTAGTCCCAAATATCCTTGAATAAAATTTAGACAATGTAACAACACCTGGCCATGATCTGAAGCTCAACAAAGATCTAATTCTACATGGATCTACAGGATTTTGACAATGGTAAAGCTTCTCATCAAACGTTTTATAAGGTGCTAGCTAAATTTCATAGTAAAAGAAATCTTTCCATTGGACTTGGTGTCTATAAAAGATATTTACTCCCCACCAATGGATTCAGTGTAACCTAGAGAGAGGGAGATAGTGAGGAGAGCATATCTTGATACCTTTTCCTCCATTTATTTTCCACTTGAGTGAAAGTCATAGACTCTAGAATTTTCAATAGAAAGATTAGGGAATCTTACTACAGTGGTTTGACTTTTTCTATAGATAGTATTCCTCCAAATAACAGGAATGCTGAGTTAACAGAAATTGTTAATATACTAGATGGCTATGTATCCTAGGGTGGGTGGTACACACAGAATCAATGTCCGTTCTTTAAAGTTTCCGAATTGCATTGACAAAAATCTGATCACCTAACTAGCACATTTTTATAGATTTTAGAATGAGTTTTAAACCTAATGTAGTTTAATGTTCTTCATTTATATATACAAAAATATGAAGTGCATTTATTTTATGTCAAGAGTTAGACTCAGAACAAATTTCCCCATCTTTTCTCAGAATGTAGCCCTTCAGAACCAAGATATAATTTAGAATTTGTTTTAAAGTAATATTTTTACCTACCATTGTAGCTTTTAGTCCAGAATTCATCTTCATCAAAATGTGCGTCTCCTCCAATATTATCTCCAGGTGCAAAAGCATGAGCTAGGACTCCACTTCTACCATCAAATGGATGGAAGTCTCCATGAGCTTTTAAAAAGGCAAGAAATTAATCCTATATGTGTTATATAAATCATACCAAATAACACAGAATAGACAAGTCCAAGTTCTCTACCTCTACTTGCAAAACTGATCATAATGTCGGCCACGCCTGCATGAATCTTTGTGAACTTCAGGGGAGTCACAGAACTCCATACTTGGAAAGCTTTCTGAATGGAATAGTTAACATCCTCATGTGCCATGTCAGGGGTGTAATTCTGGATTCTTTAGAAGCAAGGAGAAAAAATATATGGAAATCACATGTTAATTTCATAATAATAGCAATACTCCCATTTCTGCTAGCATTATTGAAAGCTGAATTATTTCATTAAGTCAAGAACCCAAATAAAAGCTTGCTTCATTAAATATAAGCATTTCCATGGACAGCTTCCTTAAACACAATCTAATAATTAAAAGAACTCCTAGTGTGGTGCTGTAGCATTAGCACTGGACTTTGAACCACGAGCTCCATAGTTTAAACCCACCAGCTGCCCCTCAGGAAATCTATCCAGGGTCACTATGAATCGGTACTGTCTCGACTGCACTTAAAACAACAACAATATTTTTTTTGAAAAATTCTTTTTTGTAAAACACAGGTTCTTACTCCTAAACCTCTGCTTTTATCTATCCTGAATATTCCAAAGAATTTTCTCAACTTTTATCTATAGTGGATTCAGTTTCATTTTTTCATTTACTTGCAGCTTTTCTACCCTGCTGTGGACTGCCAAGGGAGCAACCTTCCTTGAGTGAAGAATTCTCCTTTCTGGACTGCAAACCACAAGTTCATCAGTTCAAACCCAACTGCTGCTTCTCAGAAACCCTGTAAAGGGTCACTATGTGGCAAAACCAACTCGATGGCACTAAACAACAACAATATAGGTAACTTGAATATCTCTGTATAATAATGGAAATGCAGGTTCAATTCCACCTGACTTTTGTATGGGTGCTCTCCCCACCCCATCCAAAAACATAGAGCACAGATACACTCAGATTTAGAGCTATGTCTAAGATAGCTGAGGTTTTTAGAAATCAAACCTGAAAAAGTAGGAAAAAAATATATGCCGCCAATTTTACCTGTAAGTGATATGACGTTTCTTCCATACTGGCCTTCTAGGCATTGTGCGATAATGATGAACGTCAGAAATGCCACACCGTGGGGTGTGCATAATCTCCAAGGTAGATTTATCCAGTTGCCCAGTCACTTTTAGCCCAAAGAACTTCTGCATTTCCTGGATTTTATCTTTCATGAAGTGCTCATTGACTTTGATATTTGTCCTTAGAGTTTTTTCCACATTCAAGTCATAAAAGTCTTCCAAGTATCTCTGGAAGAAAGTGCAGTAATAAATTGTGGTACAGGTATTCCTGTTGGAGCTCATATGAGTTCTGCATGGCTCATTGTAACTGACATTTTTTAACAAGGCATTTTGGGCATCTTAATTACAAAGTCCTAGAGTCCTGGTGCTGCACTTTAGGATAAGCACTGGACCGCAAGATCCATTTGAACTGCCAGGTCAGCAGTTCAAACCCACCAGTCACACAGGGAAAGCCTATATAAGGTTGCTATGAGTTAGATCTGACTCAACAGCACTTAACAACAATTATAAAACTGCCTGTATGTTAGATTTGGATTTTTAATTATATTTTAAAATATTTAAATATTGTGTGCTATCAAAGATGTGGGAAGCAAGGTGGCTCTGTAGGCTAAGCACTGGTTCCTGGTGGGTGCTGTGGGTTAATGTGCTGGACTGCAAAGATTGGTGGTTCAAGCTCACCAGTCACTCCTTGGAAATCCTATACAGTGTTGCTATAGGTCGGAATCGACTTGACAGCACTTAACAACAACAACAACAATGAACTGCAAGGTTGGTGATTCTAGTCCTCCAGGAGCTCCGCTCAAGAAAGATAAGACTTTCTGCTCCTGCAAAGATTTACAGCTTTAGAGCATCTATACAGGGTCTCTATGAGTTGGAACCTACTCCACAGCACTTAACAACAACAACAAAGATGTGCCAAAAATTATCATTATCAAGATTAATTCTTGGAAACCCACTAGAAGCATCTTTGTGTCTCTACCTCCTAGAACTTGTTTCTACTCTTTAAAATCTATTTCATCATCAATCATATTGTGACATTTAGTAAGAAGCAAACTTTATCTTCAGAGTATATTAATTGTTAGTTTAAATTGGTATGAAAACCCTTCTCCTTAAACCCAAAGATCAATACAATGAAAATTATGACAAATTCAAACTTTAAAAGTATTTTAGCAAATAGAGAGCTTATAACTAAGTAAATCTTTTTTTTTTTTTTTTTTTTTAAGGCTTTTGAAGAAATATCAGGGATGATGGTAACCTAAAGTAGTTAAATTAATCAAGTCCATAAGGAGCTCTGGTAGCGTAGTGGTTACGAATCGGGCTGCGAACCTTAAGGTCAGCGGTTCGAAACTACCAGCCGCTCCGCGGGAGAAAAATGAGGCTTTCTACTCCCGTAAGGATTTACACCCTCGGAAACCCTGTACAGGGTCGCTATGGGTCCTAACCGACTCGACGGCCCTTAACAACAACAACATTGTTTAAATCTCCAATTAACTTGTATGCCTCTTTGAAATGTAAAGGTGATACTATAAACAGCCTCTTTCATTAGCTGGTGTAAGATTGTAGGATAAGAATCAGACTCCAATATTAGTTTGAACTGAAAGTTCTGTAGTTCAAACCCGCCAGTCACTCCTCGGAAACCCTCTACAGGGTTGCTATGAGTCAGTACCAACTTAATGGGCACTTAACAACAGCATTAGTTCCCAACTCTTAAAACCCAAACTTGCTGCCATCCTGTCGACTTATGGCCACCCTGTAAAGGGTTTCTGAGGCTGTAAACATTTTGTTGTTGTTAAGTACTGTGGAGCCATACAGACCCTGTAGAGGGTTTCCGAGGAGTGACTGGTGAGTTTGAACCACCAACCTTGCAGTTCAAACCAAATCTTTAAGAGAATAGAAAGTTTCATCTTTTTCCCACAGAGCCACAGATAGGTTTGAACTTCTGACCAAGTGATTAGCAGTCCAGTGCTTATCGTACAGTACCACCAGGGCCTCTTACCTTTCCAAATATAGTAGGCCAATGCAATAAATAAGAGTGCTGGTGTGGCACTGTGGGTAATGCACAGGACTGCAAAGTCAGTTTGAACTGCAAGGTCGGAGGTTCAACCTCACCAGCTGCTCCTCAGAAACCCTATACAGGATCGCTATGGGTCAGAACTGACTCCATGGCACTTAACAACAACAACCACAATACAATAAATATTGTAAATAAAATATTAGAGTGTTGATACTCACTTCAGCAAACACCAACTCATTTTCGTCCAGGTTGTTATTCGAGAACAGAGGATGAGCTCCAGAAGCAACAACTTGCAGGACCAGAGTAAACAGCAGAAACTTCATTCTAAACATTTCTTGAATGACCCAGTTTACTCTGATCCCTTGTAGTCCAAGTTCCTTAAATGTTCCTCTTTTTATAGCCCTTAGACCAGGCTCTGTGCATATGAAATCCTTTGAGTGACTCACAGTTGATATCATCCTTTGATTAATCTCAAAAAATACAAACACAAGCAAGACCTAATTCTAGAATCAGCAGTGGGTCAATTAATAACTCTGAAGGTAACTCATAGTGTATTTTCAAAACAATAAATTTTCATAAAGATTGTAAATCCTTTCCAAGCTGAATCTAGCTCCCAAGAGAATTGTACTGTTGTTGATCTTGTTACGTGCTGCTGAGTCAGTTCCAACTCACAGCGACCCCATATAGGGTTTCCTAGGAGCAGCTGGTGGGTTTGCACCACCCACCTTGTGTTTAGCAGTACATAAAGCACTTATCCTAGCGCCACACCAGAACTCTAGAGAATTGTTATAGAGATCTCATATTTAGTGTTGAAAAGTTCTTAACATTATAATGTTTTGATGTTTGTTCTATGTGTTGTTATTGGCTTAGAGTCTGGTTATATAGCATGAGCTCTTCAACTATTTGAGCAGAAATCCAGTCCTAACTGCTTACCTGAGTAGAGATTTCAGAAGAAATCCAACTCCTAAATTGTCTGGGATTTGCAGCATAAGGGTCAACACTTTTCAGTGTTGGGAGATAGGACAAGCAGACTGCCACATTTTTCTCCTATGGAGTGGTTGGTAAATTCATGCCATTGACCTTTTAGTTAATAGCCAATCACTTAACCTCTGTGCCACCAGGGATCCTTTCTATCATAAATACTCAAAGTCAACTCACTAACATTAATTATGTTCATTATGTTACCCAACCATTACCATCAAGTTCATTATGTTATCCAATCATTGCCATCAAGTCAGTTCTTACTCATTGCAACCTTACATAGACTTTTCAAGACCGTAAATGTTTACAGGAACAGACAGACTTAGCTTTCTCCTGCATAGCAGCAG